AAAAAAAAAAAGGGGGGGGGGGGGGGGGGGGGGGGGGATATACCTGCCAAGTCTTGATCCTAACTCCATTTTCGCTACCAATAAATTTGGCTCCATTTACAGTAACATGAGACACATGAGCTTCTGAATTTTTAGATCCTAAGCTTCCAATACTAATCCATGAAAAAAAAATAAAAAAAATGAGGGTTAATATACACAAAAAGATTATAGGTACCAAAATCATATTTCATCAATAATTATTTCATGTTTTATTAGATTATAAAGCACTGTTAATTAGTTAATTTAATATGAAAAAGCGAATAGTATTTTAATAAGTTAGTAGCATTTTCAATCCCTCAATTATTAGTTCTTCTAATTTTAGTCCATATGATATCTGATAAACACTTAATCTTCGATTATTTGAAATGTACACTTTGAGCGATCCCTTTTCTTGTGAATAATCAAATTCACAAAATTATTAATCATTTCGTCTTTTGATTAACTATATGTGTTATGTTAAAGCATGTATTGTTACGTTGCTCCAAACTTGAGGATATTTTACTGCTAAAAAGAAAGTTCAAATATAGCACATCTAAGCACACATCTCAATTATTGAAAGTTAAATGAGTTAAGTCATAAATAATAAAGACAAAAACAAAAATTTGGCAATAAATTAATTAAGGGATTTAAAGTAATTATTATACTATAGTACCTTTTAAGAAATAAAGAAAATGGAAATAAATGAAATTTTAAATACCTTATACCATGACCTGGACCACAAGTAATATTTGTGGCATGCACCTTTTGGGATCCACTAACAATTGAAATACAATCATCACCTATCCAACAAATTAAAAATTAATTAATTAGTTCATAAAATAAAAATACTCCTTTTTTTCTAATTAAATTGGATAAATAAAAATTAAATAAATAAACCTGTTCCAATAGTAGTATCAGATATTTGAATATTTTGACTATTTGTTACATGGACTCCATCAGTATTTGGGCTCTTCTTTGAAGCAGTGATCATCAAATTTGAAGCTACAACATTAGTGCATGACTCAAATTCTATATGAATTTGTTGTGCATCTTTACTCTTTAGATTCTTCACTTCCAAATTATTGCAATTGTTGAAGGTTAAGGCCTGAAAATTAAACAATATTAGTTTTAATATGTAACTAGAAAGTTAATAATCATTCATCCATTCTAAATCAAACGTCTCGAGAGTCAGAGGCGGCAGAGATAGAGTTTCAGTATTATAGATTTGGCAGAATCTAATAGCTTTGATCAAAACTGTTAGAAAAATAAGAAAATATAATCAAAGAAGGTAGGCTTTGAGGTGTGAACAAATCGATTTAATGTAAAGATACGACACTTGGGCCTAACTCAACCCCAAAAGCTAGCTCATGAGGAGAGGATTGCCCAAATCCATATAAGGAGATCACCCGTTCATTCTCCACCAATGTGAGACTTTTACGCACTCTAACACCCCCCTTCACTCCCAGGCCCAACTGGTGCGTGGATCGGGAGCCCAAACGGGGATGGACTTGGCTCTGATACCATGTAAAGATATGGCACCTGAGCCTAACTCAACCCCAAAAGCTAGTTCATGAGGGAAGGATTGCCCAAGTCCATATAAGGAGACCATCAATCCATTCCCCAACCAATGTGGGTCTTTTATCCACTCTAACATATTACGTATATAGTAATTCTCTTCGGGATACAACAAAACGCAAATTTCATTTCACCTTTGGTTGTTGGACAATCACATTATATATAGTGCAGAGTGCAGACTATGTAATCATTTTTATTTGTATTATATTAAGAGATCCATTGAAATAAACAATATATCAACATTTGAGTAAGTTGATTTATGGGAAAACGGTTTGAATATATCTAAATTTTGATTGAAATTGTTGTAACAATCCCAAATTTTAGACAGACCATAAATATTGCATCATTACAAACAGTAACTTGTCCAACTGGACACTTATATATCTTTAAAATACACTATTAAATAATGCAGGAGGATAATAGGTCTTGCCCAAATTTTGGATTGTTACAGCAATTTCGATCAAAGTTTGGATATATTTCAAACCTTTTAAATTCGCCTTCACTCGGATTCAAATCGTGAAACCGAATAAATCATTGTAGAGGACGTTTCCTCCTTTAATGAGCTTTATACCGTACATATTTAAATTAATCAGACCCAAAACAAATACTGAACACATATACATACAACATATTTCCAAAATCAAATGAATTAACGTACCGTTGGTGCATCCTTGCATGGCTGCATGAAGAAAAAAAAGGGTAACAATGATCAGGCAAGGATGCTCTAAGAATTAGTTTACATAAAATTAATATTGTTCGGATTCTCTAAAAATGTGATACATTCGTGACACATCCTTCAAATATACATTATTTTTTATTTTTGGAAGAAGTTTAAAGAATCCGAGCGACACAGCGTAAAACTTATAAGCAAGGTTATAAAATTACCAGTGATTTATTAATTTTGCAAGAATATGGCCACCATACATTTCCATTGCCATTGATAGTTCCTCCTCCTCCAACAACTAAATTTTGAACACTATCAAAAAGAATCCAATGCCTTCTATCTGTGTAGTCTGAAATTTTATCACATGCTTCTAAGGATCCAAAAATCTGCATAATAATTTGAAAAATATAAGAAGGGAAATTAAAGAAACAATGACTAATCTAAAATTATGTAGTACTAAAGCTTCTAAATTATCATTTATCACTATTATTACTACTGTTATTTCTTTTACTTCGATTTTTTTTTTTTTTTAATGTCGATATGTTCTTTCTTCATATTTTCATCATAACATTTCTTTCAAACGTATTTAGAAAAATATTTTTTCTTGAGCCATGAGTTTGGAAACAACCTCTCGATCTACCCCATAAAAGTCTTTGTAGGGATAATGTCTGCTTACACCCACTCTACTTAGATTCTCCTGAATATGTTGTACGTAGTTGTTGGTTTTCTTTACTATAGAGTGTTGTTTTCTTTTTCCTATAATTAAGTAATATACTCCCTTGATTTGAATTTATTTGTCAATACTTTGTTTACTTCGTTTTAAAAATAAATATTTCTTTCTTTCTTTCTTTTTGACAATTCTTTAGTTTGAACTATCCACGTGACATACTTAAGACCATAATTAGTATGTCTGTTCTACACATCTTTACTCTACAAATAAATAGAATTAGCTATAAACTTCGTCACTAGCTAATTCATCGCTAAGTTGCTCATACCTAACATAAATCTATGATAATTCCTCAGTACTAATTCACCAAATTAGCGACGAAATTCGTTGTTTAGCTACAAAATTTATCCATCACCTTTCAGTTTTGTAGTAGCTAAGTGTTAGTAAGATTCAAAAGTCTTCTTTGATAACTTTCTTGAATTTCATACCAAGTTAAAATCAGACAAATAAATTATTAACGGGGAGGGAAGTAATCAATATGCTAACCTGCACTGAAATAGAAGATTTGCATGGACCTGAAAACGTGATTTGTTTGAGAAGATAATTCTTGTTTTGAGGAACCACAAATTGAACAGGTGTTTTAGATGAACATGCTTCTTTCCATGCTTTCTCAAATGCCTGAAAGATAATTGAACACGATAAGAAACACTACCAAATGTAGTGGTAAATTCTTACAAGAAACTCTCGAGTATGTATTCGATCCGATAAAAGTCATTTTTTTTTTTAAATAATAATATTTTTTGGTAATTATTTTTTAGGAAAAATATTTCTTTGATATTTCAATATTGGTAGATTGAAGATATATTTAAAAAAATATATACATATAAGAACTATGCATGTGTGAGCTCGTTCATATGACTGGTCTCAAAGTTCCAATAAAAGCGATTGTCGAGAATCCCATAAAGATAAAGTTAAAGGCTGAGTACATCTTATTAGATTACATTAAATTTGTTATTTTGGTTGAAAAGTATACATATAAGAAATTAATAGTAATATTAGCAAAATTAGAGAGATTTTGATGAAATTACTTTTCTAGCACTAAACATCAAAAAAGTGTCTTATTCTTAATTATAGCAAGTACTATGCCGTTATTAAAAGTAAAAAAAATATAGTTCCATGGAAAATGACTTCCTCACTTACGAGAAAACTCATTTTCTACATTTTGATAACTAAACACGAGAAAATAATTTTCTACATTATAAAGTATAACTTATCGCCGTTCCAAATATCCCTAATATTCTCTATCATTTTCATCCCCATTAAATATATTCCAATATTTAAATACTTACCTTATTATCATATGTTTTTCCATCACCCTTAGCTCCAAAGCTACATACATCAATTACTCTAATCCCATTTTTATCAATCTTCGCAATATTATTGAAATCATGAATATTATTTTTGCTTTCAATATTTGTGCTCAAATAAGAAAGATAAGCTTGAAAATCATGAGCAAATCCTTGTTCAAAAATATTATTATAAACTTGTTTGAATAAATCATCATCAATAAAATTGCTTCTACAAGTTGAAATTGATAAAACAAAAATAATAATGAGAAGGAGAATATTATTCCTTTGGATAACCATGATATATTGTTATATGGTATGGTTTTTAAATTTGTCTATTGAAAAAGATTTTTGTGACAAAAGAGAAGTATGGATTTTATTTTATTTTTTATGATAAGAGGTATGGAAGTGATATAATAAAATGATATGGGAAGGATTTGTCTATTTATAGATTTTTTTAGGGGGTTTAAATTGATCAATATGGTTATAATGGGTATTATTTTAGTTTCGATGAGAGAGATTTAGACGAAAGAGTTTCATCGACAATTTGTCGACTTGTATTCTCCCCCGTCTCAAATTATTTGTTGTATTTTTATATACACTTCTTAAAAAATATATTATTTCAGATGATTCGAAAAAATTATTTTACCACTTTTTGTCACTTGAGATATAATCTTTCTTTGTTAAATATTTATTTTATTTATATGTTTGTAATTTTAAAAAATAATTTAAGATAATTACTTTTAGAAAATTACAATAAATAATTTATGACGGAAATAATAGATTATATTCGATGAACCAAACACTATAATTAAAGAAAATTTATATCAAGTTAAGTTTGATTCATACATAGCGCATAGGTAACCTTTCAAATTATGGTTTCTTAAGGTGCTTTACTATTGTTATAATTAATTACTTTGACATCAAATTAATTAATTTACGTTTTGAAGAAGTTTTAATTTGATAATATTAGTTCATTGCAATTCAATTGAATCAAGAAGCAATCCCTCGATATCAATTTCAAATATTAAATGTTTGATATTTTTGGCAATCAAATTATATATAAAATAAGAGTAACAGAAATTGTTTTTAATTTTTTAAAAGTAATTCTCTCTAATAATATAATACTTTATTTTTAATTTTAAAAAATACACTTAAAAAGCGTGATTAAATATTAATTGTTGCTCAAAAATATTTCTTAAATTAACTGGTCAAATACAAATTATTTCTCATCAATTTTTTTTAAAAAAAATTAGCTGATTTTAGAAGATTGATCAAGCAGGCTAGCTAAAGAGAAATAACATTCCATTTAGTCTGAGTTAAAATGTTAAGAAAAATAACAGTACAATATTCTTAATCCAATTTGTTAACAAGTTTCGTTGATTAAAAAGTTTGATAGCAAAGTTCGATCTCAGTACTTATACACACACAATTTCTATATTATCAAAAAAAGTTTTATATTATGACTCTCATCACCAAACTGTTTTTTTTTTGGAAGAAACATAATTTTATTTATCAAGATGCGGGTACAATTTTGTAATCCCTTGATTCTTCTCAAGATATTTATTCATTGATTCAAGGACCGTTTGTGGCGTATTTTTCAGACTTATAAGATGATTTGGACTTAATCTACATAATTTGAGGGCCGTTAGTGGCGAATTTCTCAAACTATGATAATTTGGACTTGATATATATTCATAATTTGAGGGTCGTTATTGACGTATTTCTCGAATTAAGATGATTTGAATTTGATCTCTTTTTGAATATTCCACGAGTTTGTGGAATATTTGAGATACTCGAGATCCTCTCATCACCAAACTCATCTTTAAAAATTAAATAAATTTTAAACACAAATATATTCATTTTCTATTGTTTTTGTCTTCCGTTCCATTGCATCATGAAGACTGATAATGCCGGAATAAATATTACCAAAGGATGTAGTACAATGAATGTGACTATCCTTTCTTAATCAGATATTTCAATTTCGAGCTGTGGGTATAAAAAATCATTAATGGTATATGTATTTTTTCGAATCAGATCCTATACGGTGCAAATCTAAATTAGTCGGACTTCACTATAAATACGGAACCACAACTGAAAACCAAAAAGAAAAGTCGTGAATAACTTGAATTTGTTTATTTGTATACAAGAAGAGCTTCCCTTGAAGTAGATTTAATTTTATTTGTTTGTTTGTGTTTTTTTGGCACTTCTTTTAAGCATTTATTTATCTTTTAAATAGGAATTACCTTTATAGCAGTTTACGTGTTTTGTTACCTTTCTAGAACTTTACATGTTTAGTTACATTTAATTGATTAATCTTCTCTAAATGGAAAAATAGTCTCTAATTTAATCTCTCCTCATATGTGTATGGTTTATTACAAGGAAGAAAAAAATGGGATGAATCTACCGACGGGCTTTCGGGTGACATAAGGCTTTATAGCTTGATTTCGGTTATTGTACTCTATACGGACTATACCTATACATTCAGAGGCGTATTCAAGATTTCGAGATGATAGGTGCACTATTACCAAAAGGTGGATCTAATTGGTTTGACATTTAGGTTTCTATCATTGATCAAACAATTATAGGTCCAAAATTAAAATGCTTAATTAATTAAAACGTCAAAAATACTATCAATAACCACTTAGAGAGGGGTGTTACCCACTTTTAGATAGAAAAATAAAATAAAATAAACCTCATTAAGAGGTGCACCCAATCATCATCACATTATATGATATTTCGAGTGTGGGTTCACACATCTATATTTAACAAAAAAAATTTAAAAAAAAACATTACTATATATGATTTATGGAGGGAAACATGGGTTCACGTGAACCCGATGACCCCCTTCTGCATACGCCTCTGACTATAGTTTCATTTGCTATGGAGACTACAATTTGTATATTTCGCTTGCAAATATACAATTATGGTAAGTATATATAAACATGGTAAACATATACATTTAGGAATTTTTTAGAACATCATTTGTATATTTCGCTTGTCAATATACAATTAGGTTAATTTATTATGATTTTTTCATAAATCATAAACAAATAGTTAAGGTAAGCATATACAAATTCTGGATTTATACAATCAGAAACCGAATTATACAAAATCTGGATTTAACAATCAAGGACTGAATTATACAATTAGAAAATCGAATAGAAAAATTTCATGAAACAATAGCCATGAATTAAAAACAATCTAAAACTATAGCTATATTACATAATATACTTTAGATGTTTGCCATTTCGCGTATTTTTTCCTAAAAAGAACATAATTAACTAATATCGTATTTGATAGTGTATTTTAACTATAAGTATGTCAAATACGACGTTTGCATATTAGTTTATAATCCTCATAATTAATATATGTATAATTAGTTACGAGAGAATTTATATACATTATTTTATATATGTGGAGTAAAAGATAGAATAGCAGATATTGTTGGGTTTTGAGTATTTTTCTCGTCGTATGTGGATAAATAAAAGATCAATTTGGACCAGCCCACTTTTGTCCATAAACCCAATACTATGGTGCATATATATGTAAGGCTTCTTTTATGTCTTATTTTCAGATTATTAACAAGACATTTATCAGCAGTCATGTAGAGAGAAAAGTGAGAGAGTGCAGATTTTCGCACAAGCCTTACCAATCAATTTCAAATCGCGATTCTCGCTTCGTTTCTTGTCCGATTGAGTTGATTTTTAGACAACTTATTTCTTTCAAATTAATCTATGATTGGGAATTGAGAAAGGTGAATTTGGAGTCTCGTAGCTCCAGATTTCTGCTCATGAACAGTAGTTGCGTGTTTCGGTGATTTTATTCCTTTTATTTCTCTAGTTTTTGGTGTTATCTTGTAGTTTTTGTTGCTTATTGTTTGACACTTCTTTGCTGGTCATTTTGGAGAATGCATTTGTAACTCTTGTTGATTTTAATGGAGCTTTGACCTTATATTTTTTACTCTTCACCCCGAAGAGGTTTTCCATGCTAATCTTGGTGTCTCGTGTATTGATTTGATTTTACCTTGCTATATTATTTGTTTGGGCCGATTTTTTAACTATACAACTTAACAACTGTATTTACACCAACATAGCAATACTTTTTTTTTCCAATTATATAGCAATACTTTTTTTTTCAAAAGTAGAATTTAAATTTAAAAAAAAAAATCCAAATCAGCCATGCTTATCCCGATTCCCATAAATTTCTCCAATAATTTATCTTCCCTAATTTATTCAAATATGCTATATATTATCTCCCATAAATAGAGGTTTCCTACCAAAACAAAACTCCCTTTCTCTGAGTTATCTTATTCATATTTTTAAATTCATAGTTGTTATAAATGGTTGTATATAATAGATACCATGAACACTTTTGAATTATGTGTTGTCACATATCCAGAAATATTGATAAAAAATGAATTTATTGGATGATATTCTGCTGTTGATTTGATATGATAAATAAGCCAAACTCTTGGTGAAATTTTGGTAAATAGGCACAAATTTATGGTAAAAATAAAGGATCATAATAATGGTGTATATAGTAAAACAAATGTTTGGAGTATACACCAACCTAAAACAATAAATTGAAAAGTATTAGATGTTAGTATATTAGTTTGGACGCTACAATAATTAACACTCAATTACTGTAAAATTGGTTTACTTTGGTTACAACTGGTACAAAACTTGGTATAAATGATGGTATATATAACAACCAAATGTCATAATGATGATGGTATATTATCTTACATATGAACATACGTATATTAAAATGACTGCAG